CACACACCCACCGACATCGACACTCACACCCATGCACCCACATCCCCCCTAGCATTTACATCAGCAATTTGTTTCAATGTATACGTGAATCATTTGATCAACAACAAAAACGTGATATTTTGAAGCAAAGTCTAAATACAATGGAAAGAGTATCACTTATGGAACAGAATGCGTAATAACCGAACAAAATTTCATTTTTTCTTTATATATCATGACTAACTTTAGATTTAAAAATGTAAGAAACAATAGCACCGTCATTTTACTTGGCATATAATAATATTTACAAATTTTATAAATACCATTATCATCAGTAAAAAAACATCACTAGAGACAATGAATTTCCTTTTTTCCTATTCAAAATAATAATAACTGAATATATTTAGATTATTCATTTGAGACTCAATCGAGTACTAACGAGAAAATACCTATAACTGCAAATCAAAGCGCCCTGAGGGTGTGAATGTGAGTGTGGAGTCATCTTTCCTTTATCCTCACCCATACTTTCACCCAAAATCAAACTCTATATCTTTCTTAATGAGATAAAGAATCATTTATGCAGATATTAATCTTGTGATTAAAATAATATTTATTGTGGGATCTCAATATTATATATGCGAGATTAGAATACAAAAAATCATGATAAACAAACGGATATATAAGCAAAATCTTTTATGCATTAAATTGATCTGTATTCTTTATTAAACGAAACCATAAATACGAACTTCACTATACTGAACGCCATATGAACTTGCTCGCTTGGATGTGGCTAATAATCGATAGCTGGTATAAGCAACTGTGTTATTAAAATTTTGCATTGCTACATAAGTCATTCTGCCCGGATCCACAGAAGCATTAATACCAGTGGAACCTGAATAAATTAGTTTCCAACTCGCTCCAAAAGGTAATTGTGCACTTGCATTATTACTACCCTCAAGCGTTACTGTTAAAGGATCTCTTTCAGGACTGTCATTTGCTGTGGCAAATTGAATTCCTGTTGCAACTGAACGACCAATAAGAGGAGTAATGTAAAAACCACTTTGGAGACCACCTGTAGTCGAAGTATCACCAATAGCAACATTTAAATACTTCGTATTTGTATCACCATCAAAAGCATTTGAGGGGCTTTCATATGACACCCAATTGCCTACATTGACACCGCTCGATGAACCAGCCGATGTGTTAAAAATACCAACATTAGTGTCATTTGAACTAGTGATTTTCATGTATTGAGGTGGGCGAATTGTCGTAGTAGTTGTTGCTACAGTAAGTAAGAAAAATTTTGTAGTCATCAAAAATTACTCAAGAACTACATTTGATAGAAGTTAATCTACTTCTTTTTATCTTTATTGAAGTTCCCCAAGATCTGACAGTAATCTTTGCTGTGTGTGATGAGAACCATTCGATATGATGGTTCACATTTAAAACTACTGTGAGAACAACAATTATAACTATCTGCAGTAATATTTAAAATATAGTTTATTTCTGAAAACTATCTGTCAATATTTTCTACTTTCCATATAAACCATTTTCGACTTATATAAATCTTACTTTATTATATGTTCGAACTAGAAAAAGCATTAAATTTCCTATTAAGTTAATAGCAGTCCACGTTTAAAGATTGAATAAACTGTCATTCATAACAGCAAGTATCAAGAACGGTTGTTTTTAATATATTTCTTCTATCAATTATAGTCTCTTATTGATTAATAGAATTAGTCTACTACAGAATACAGTCTATTTTTTAATGTTTCAATGTAATTTAACGGGCCAGGCAGCCCGTTTTAAGTCCTGCTTACTACTAGAGGTGATCGTAATAAAGTTGAATTATGAAAAGAAATCTAATTTTATAAACATATGAGAAGTGTAAGGACTTCGATGCTGATCTTTAGTATGTGTCATACCTTGAGACTGACTTAGCTGAAAGTCGTAGACAATTGCATTAGAAGAGACCACGAGTTTCTGTGGCATCAGTGATTCACTGAAAGTGAACATCGATAGTTAGCTGATCCATCAAATACAGCAATGTAACAAGTGGGAAACTTATTTGCACATTGAACAGCACAAAGAAGTTTTGTCGTGATATTTAAATGAGCGAGTAAAGAAACACTTGAATTGTAACCCATTTGGTTGTATATACGACCCATTATATTAACGAATGCGTTAGCACTGCAAGTGTTGATAATAAAACAGCTACAAACTACTAGAACATATACTATATATTTCACTAAAAAGTAAATCAAAGTTTTGATATGTTATAGAAATACATTATCATTCTTTTATCACATACTCAGTTTTGGCATGAAGATAGTGAATTTAACGACGAATAAATGAAAATATTTTATCTAAAATTGTATTAATATGTATCACAATAAAAATAATCGCCTTTAGTTGTTTGTTTATTGGAAAAACAATTGTCAAAGATTCAGTTTTATTCGAATAAAGATGCGTAGTAGATGCAAACATTCAGAAATGATGGAAGTGATTGTTAGAAAACCTCTTAGAATGACACCATTATATGAGTTGTAAGTATTCTTCATGAGTACACTGTTGTTTTTTTTGTTCTTTTATTTAATGTAATCTCGGTAAAAGTGTCATGAATAGTAATTACTATTTTACAGAATGTTTTTAATTTAAAACAAGCTAGGTAAAAAAACTAAACATAAGCTTTATTTATATATACACAATTGGTTATTCACGGTAGATGAGAAGTGTTTGAGTGCACTTGAGCAACATTATTATTATTAATATTGTTTTGTTTTCTCTTTCTTCTATTTTTCAAATGTCAATCGTATTGTTCGTTCAGGTCTTACCTTCCTGTCATATATGAGAAGATGAATTTCTCATCTTCTTTTCTTTATATATGTATTCACGGCGGTGTGAATAGTTATAGAATAAATATCGTAGTTGTATTGTCTTCACATCAGCGTCACATATATAGAGAAAGAAATTGCTACTGAATGTTTTTTATTATAAAAAAGTTTGAATAATCTTTTACATTGCATTTAAGATGAGATTTTACTGATCAAGTCAAAATGTAATCTCAGTTCAGTATTCTGCCTTCGATATTTGAAATAGAGGTAGAATAGAAGGATGTAAGTGTTACTAGTCAATGGTATAGCCTTGAATGTAACTTCACTATTATGTAAACTTTCATTGATTATAATAAATCTAAACAAAACTTAAAAATCATTTTTGTTTTAAAAATTTATTTGTTTGATAGTAAGCGATAGAATTTATATATGTGGACTAAAATGAAAATATACATATTATGCGAATGCGAGGTAGACAGACGTAAGCGTGCATATTAGTATCTGAGTACTGATTTTATTTCTCAATATACTCAGTTTGTCAAGAAAATATCAATATTTCAAATAAGATTAGCAGCCCATTTAACTGCATTAATCATCATCGTGCTCAAATTAATATCGTTTGCCCAATTAAAGTTTGCAACACCACTAGTGTAGTGACCAGCGTGTGCAATTTGAACAATACGACCTATTGTTGCTGGAATGGAACTAGACCGAATAGCAACTCCAGGTCCTCCACTGCACTGCAAACAGCTGGCAAGGATTGTACCATTATTAATAAGTGATCCACCCCTATTGTAAGTGACTATCGATGTGCTTGTAAATGAAGTAGAAAGATTATTCCAAATGGGATGATTTGGAATAGTTAAATTCATTGTTATATTCGAACTATCAGAATTAGATCGTGTAAAAAGTTGCAACGGACGTAAAATTGTCCACAAGCTGTTATTGAACTGAAAAGCTGCCCATTCAGTCAGAACCACGCCGGTAGCATTGTTTTGTTGTGCATTTAAAATCGATTGTTGTCCATTAGTAGTCATGTCATAGCCACTCGAAGTACCAGTAACAATGATGACAACTCCAAAAGTAGCTGCATCAGGTGTACCATTATAATATACAACATTATTAGAACTATAAGTAGAATTGATTCCAGCTGATTGTAAAAGATTGATCAAACTGTGTACAGCTGCTCCAGAATCACTAATAAGTAAAGCTGTATATTTGGGAACTACAATAAATTTTTGAAATTGAATATTCTTTCAATAGAAATTATTAAGAAAGTATTATAAAGACAAATTCTTTCAAACTATTTATTCTAATCATTTTTAAGTGATTCCAGTGCAAATTTAGGTTATGTCTTTGGACGTAAAACTTTTTCAATTACTTCGACGGATTTTCTTAGAAAACTATTGTCATCTCAAATAATACATCAGAATTAAAGTGACTAGAGAACTATGGATTCTTGTAGACCTGATCTCAACTCTGATTGATAAGTACGAGAATAATCAACAGGATAAAACCAAATTTTCAATTTTAAAGAATGATAAGGTGGATGCGGACAGGAATGGGCGTCACTCTCTCATCCAGGGCTAGCTGATATCTAGATAACAAGTTTCCTTCTTCGTTTTACGTCATCTTTCTTATCATCGAACTACTGTGACCTCTACCACATCCCTATACGAGAATTTCGAATTTCAAACATATTTTTCAAAGCTGTCATCAAATCTATTCTCCTCTGAATGGCTATAGTGTTAGTCTACCAATTAGGATGAAACTAACCAGTTGTTGTTGTGTTTGTTGCCGTTGTTGTTGTAGTCGGTTCTATTTAAAAAAGTCATATTAAAATGAGATAAATTTCAGTTTTCTGAAATCTAAGGCCTTGGAGAACTTTTGAAACTCTACTAAATTATTACTAAGGATAAAATTATTGATATGGAAATATGTTCCTACATAGAACTAAAAAGAATAACAAACTGTTGGACGATCATCACTCTAAGATGACGGTAGATGTGCATGTATCAATTCTAGTATCAGTCTTTACAAAATCTGTATTTCTTTGGTTTCCTGGAGTAATTACTTTTTTTAATACATCATAGATGTTCTCTCGCTATTATCTGTGTTAAGTATAGTTTCAATTTATATTACTAACCAGATGGTACTCGTGTTCCAGCAATAGTAATCATAGTAATAGTATTTATATCGGGCACTATGTTCCCAATTTGGTTCGATATATTAACAAACAATTGACAGTTAGAAGTTGATGGATTAAAACTGGCTGCTTGACATTGAGTTTCAGCTAAACAAGCTATTTGACATTTAAGAATATAAGACGCAAATGTATTGGTGAAAGGTAAACACGTTGTATTAGTACATGAAAATCGGTAGCCCGTCATTACAGACATTTGAACTGATTGTATATTTTCTTCAATTGATTGTACAATCAACATTAATACAACTAACAGAGAGCTTCTTATTAAAAACATTCTCGACTGTATTTTAATGTTAATAAAATGAATGTCACTTCCAATGAAGCAAAAATAATGACTAAATGATGGATACTATCGTTGTTTTTCTTTCTTATTTCGCACATCAAATATTTTTTTTTGTGTTTATTTTATTATTAGAAACTATAATATGACTCTATTTGTTTTAACTGACTTTCTTTTAGTTGTAAAAAAAAGAAATTTCTTTTTGTTTGTGTTTATATACTGCTTGAGCATTAAATTAGAATAGAAGTTTTTTTTCTGGAATTTTATCTCGATAAATTGTTACTTGTTAAACATGTTCTAAATCTTGTGATGAAACCTTGATTGAGAATATTTTTCATTCATGAGATGATTAACTCGAGTTCGAATATAAATAAAATCTTAATTCAGTTGCATAATATAAATTATAATTTGAATTAAGAGACACTTATATTAGTTTAGTAAAAAAAAGTTGTCCTGAATTATAAATTAAAATAACTCGAATTAGAAGATACTTATATTAGTTTAGGAAAACCAGGGAAATAAAAAACATCAGTCGTAAAGTTCGAACTCCAATGTCAACGTATGTCGAGCCGAGAAAAAACTAACAATCAGAGTTGTAAAAAAATTGGTCGAGTTAACCTTGATCTTATAATACGTTATTTATTCCAATTGATGAAGACTATTTAACGGATCTGTCAAGTTTGATATTATTAAGGGTGTAGATGTGGTTGCGAATAGAATACACCCATACTATCAACTTCTCAACTAACTCTATGAAAATTGTTCACGCACATTTATGAATTGGCAGAGATTTCTTCAAGCTCAATAAGATTATAAGTTAGCATTATCGAGCTCTTTCGTCACATTCTTCAGGTATTTATAGAAAGTATTATTTCTTGATACATCGAGTATATGTAAAAGTTAACATATAAGACATAATTTCTAAGTTCACTGAAATACTTCTTCAAAAAGTATGCAGATATTTTCACATGCACATACTTATATTTTCTACTTTGTACATATTTGATGTAGAGTTTATTAACCTGCTTTTGTTTTTACAGTGATGCAATAATGAAAAATAATCTAGAGTAATTTTTAAACTTTGTCAGATGATTGTATGCATATGTTTGTAACTGTCGGTAACTTAGTTTCTTTTAATTTGTTTTTAGTACACGAACATATTTTTCATTAAAAACTCGAAATCATAATAGCTTTCTCTCTTTTTTTTTATCATTTCTCAATTGCTGTGGTACTTCAAAGTATTTTATCATTTAGAATAAATCATTACTAAGTATAAGTGTCGTCATTTTATATCATGATTTCTCGTTACAGCCAGTTTTCGAGGAACAACTAAAAAAAATGCAGCTCGATAACGAAAAATTTACCCCATAGACTAAGATCATTGGTATCTTCGATCTATTAATTTTTTAGAGGGCGCCACACATTGTGCATTTTAATATTGGTTCACATAATTCATTATACTTTATCTGCTCTATTAATATACTAAAACTACACATGTACCGATATATGAGTTAAATTTAAGTATCTTCACTAGCAACATTATTAATAAAAATAACACCGCTATAGCGTTATTGGTTATTACTCTTACTAAACGTATTTGTCACAATATATTTTGACAATATAATTGTACGATAAAAAAACGAAATCATTCAAGTGGAAAAAAATTTTAATATTTGTATTCGAACGATGTCATTATTAGTCGAAATACATAGAACGATAAAATATCGTATAATACAATTACATTCATACAAAGTAAGAAAAATTTAATGTTTTTTTAAAAATGTGACTTTGAATTTAAAATTAATATATTCATTATAACGATTGAATACAGAATGTTTAAATTTTTTTGTTTTTGTTTGATAATTAATTTAATATTTTAATGTGTTTATTATTTAAATATAACATTTTATCATAAACGTGATAAAATATGTAGATTTGACTATTTTAAAAAAAAATTCCTTCTTAAAATCATTTTAGTTTTTTTTTCTTATTACGTTTAAATTTGATCTGACGATTAATGAAAGAGAAGGTGACGTTATAAAGATTATTTTTCATTCTTTATATTACTCCAAAAAGGGTATAATATTGGATGAAAATCACTTCAGTGTACAAAAAACCTTTCTCATCTTGAGAGCTTTAGATTCGTTCTTAGTTATTATACAAAAAAATCAGAATAAGTTTCATAAAATAATATAATACAATAACTCTTCTATTTATAGCAAAACAAAAAAACGGTTTTTTTCATCGAAATATTCTTTTTACTGAACGAGCTCAATTGTATCCGTTCTTTTCAATACGTACATTGTCCAGAAGTTGTGTGAATCAACAAATGTACATAATTTAGATTTAAAAGTATAATGAAGAATATTATTTGTATTGGTTGTGGAATAGTTGGTTATGCAACGTGTTTATCCTTATCATCATTAGGTCATTCAATGGTTGGAATTGATACATGTATGATTGCTCGAAATCGAATGATTAATATGAATTTTTCTTGTTTTTCTCCTGATGAAGTTATGTTTGAAGAAAAAATGAATGATATATTGGTTGATGTTATACTTATTGCACTTCCAACACCATTTTGTTCATTGACAAATACACTTTCAGATGAATCTATAATGTTATCAATTGGATTAATTTCATATTTAATAAAGAAAAAAAAAGATGATAATCCAGTAATGATCATTCTTCAATCGACTGTATCAGTGGGTACAAGTAGAAAATTATTTAATGGTTTAAAATTATTTAATACAGATGATAATTGTAATTATCATTTATTTTATCATCCAGAATTTCTTCGTGCTGAAAAATCTCAATATGATGCTTTACATCCTATTAAACAAATCTTTGGTTTGACTGATGGAAAACCGAAAATGGATTTATCATATTATGAAAATATTCTTGAAGAAATTTTTTCTCCAATTGGATCCTTTCGATCGTCAATAACAATGATGTCATCAAGTGAAGAAGCTGAATTTTTGAAATTAGTACATAATTTTAGTAATGCAATGAGAATATCATTTTCAAATTGTTGTGCTCATTTAGCATCTTTACTTTCATCGAAATTAGATAAAGAAATTGATGCATCACGAGTATTATCAGTTGTAAGTGAAACAGCAGAATCATTTTATAATAATAAATATGGAATAAAACCTGGATATCCATATTCTGGTGCTTGTTTACCAAAAGATATCCAATGTTTTATGAATATAACTGAACAATATCCTTATCGACAATTCCTTGAATCAGTTCATCTTATTAATGAGCAAGAAAAAAATAAATAAACTATTTTCCGATATTTGTTTTTATCAAACATATTTCATTACATTCAAATAAAATTATGTTTCACAATCAATACTTCGTCTTTTAATATTTTCATCATTGATCCAAACTATTACAATTGATAAGAGCAGATATGAGGTTTGTCAAGAGAAAATAAGATGTCAATAATGATATATTCTATAATTGAGTTTAGTTTTAATGATTCTCGAATTTTTCTGCTGTATACAACAATTTTGTTTTTTTTCTAGATTAAAATATGTTAGTACTCTACGAAATTTGATTGGCTAACTGAAATTAAACTGTTTTAGATAATTTTAATTCGAGGTATCGACTTTTATTAATGCTAATTATATAAACGGCATGCCCAGGAATATTAACATAAACAAACCTATTCTTTTTTTATCTGAACATTTTGCTCTTCCCGGGTGTGGCATTTATATAATTAGTATTAATTAATCTTAATAGTTATTCTAAGCCGATATTTCTAATTTAGTTTTTTCACACCTCATTACATTGCCATTAGTAATCATATAAATAATCATTTACTACACAAAATATAATATGATAATTCGTCTGTTGAAAACTAAACATTATTACGTACTTTTTGACGAGGAATCGAATTTTATATACATTGCACAGTACACAGACTGATTAATTAAAAGCATAATGCTTTATCATATACTAATCATTGTTAACGATATCTCGAATAAACACATAAACAGATTTAAGGTCTCTGCAAAGTTGATGCGCAGGCCAAGAAATTTCAGATGTATTGTGTGTAGTTTCATACTAATCTGGTTACTAATTATAATCCTCAACATATATAATCAATCATGGCTCTTTAGCAAAAACTATTTCCGAGATTATGCTCTATTTAAACGTCCTGTGGTTCGCATGGCTATCATTAGCAGTGTCTCCCATCATGGTGAAGTCTGGCATTCGTATCTGTACGCGGCAGTGATACGATGCCAATGGCATGTCTCACTCTTTACTGCTACCTTGCGACGTAATATTCAAGAAGAAAACGGCCTCTCGTACGCTACGCGTTCATGGTCTCGTCTTCCACTCTACAAACAACAGCGCCACGTCAATGAACTTTTCAATTCTACTTCAACGATTTGTTCGTATCAAATCATAGCTATTGGTACCCTGGGACTGTTGGAGTTGCGACGGATTCTCAACGTATTAGTCAAGGACTGTGATCGACGTACAGCCTATATTGTTCTCGTACAAATGCATGACGCTGCTACTGCGTTACGTAGTATCGAAAAGGTCGTCAACAAATTTTCATCACAATTAAGCCGGAGACGCATCGAAGTTCGTCTCTTAGCATTGGCCTTTCATGTAAAAGAATATGCGGAACGGTATCAGAAATTACCTTTACGTGTTGATGTTTGGGTGCCGATCTTTCCACTTGACTTACCTGTTCATGATGAAAATGACGAACATCACAAATACTTCGACTTTGTCATTCAAGGTCAAGTAGACACTCAAAGACGCAATTATTCAGGTTTCTTTACCCAGGTTCAACGACAATCCAAGGCACTTGATCGACATAGAATAACTTTTAGCATTGTAGGACGTTCGAGTGACTGTAAAAACTTCCGTTATGTTCGATCACCACAAATTCGCGTTTTTATCGGGCCTCAATACATGCCTGCAAACCTTTTCTTTGGTCTAATTCATCAAGCGGTCGGCATTATTCCACTTTTTAGAGGAGATACCTATTACAAAAGCAAGCAATCTTCATCTATCAGGACGTCGGTTCTCACGCGAACTCCATTACTAGCATCACAGCGATTGCTGAAAACACACAAATATATTCCTAAAGAAGCTGTATGGTTCAAACAAGATAACGAAACCGATCTTGGTGCTGTTTTACGAATAATCACCAGTTATCCATCAGACGTTGCATTCAGAAAGGCACTGTTCATGAGACGACAAGAACTTGATCGACTGGCTGAAGAGTGGTATATAAATAACGAGCGTACTCTACGCGAGTACGCCAGATTGCTCGAACAAAGTACGAAACAATAAACATCTTGAGGATGTGGGTGGATACTGTAGTCACCTAGCACTCACACCTTATTGTTCCTTTTTAATATACGAATATCATATTATATAATACAATGAAATCTTTTGAAAAATCATCATATGTCAATTGTGTATTTTTGAAAGAAAATTATGTAATCTAGCTCTTCGTATCATTTCTAAAACGCAAACATTCTCACAAGCACTATCAATTATATAGCATCGATAGATAGAAGTAAAATGTATTTACTCAGATATTCACATGGACTCAATAAACCAATGTAAATCAGTTCTTCTCAACACTCTATTGAAGATAATTTAAAGAACATAAAACGTTATTTTTTTCCTTTGGTATTGTTAAACTTCTTTTATCTATTCTATAAATCACATTCGTTAGACACTAGTATTGCTTAAGCAAGATCTAATTTCTATAACATAAATAATAGTGGAGATTTCCTATCATACTCAATCTGACGAATAGGATGTAATTAAGAATAAGTATCCTTAATTAAACCGAAAGATATCAGTAATAAGAATGGATGAGTGTGAATGTAACTACGAATCCATGAAATACCGTCTATCCATTGAAATCTAAAATTACATATCGTTTGTCGCATATTTTTTTTTTCTTTTTCTTTCGATATAAGCAATATTAATATATATATATATGCATATTTTTGTCATCATACAATATTTGTTGATATTAACACGTGTTCACTCATGATAGAAAAATACTAATGTAAAACCCACATCGTGAAAAACCTGTATGCGTATTGCAATAACACATTGCCGCTTTGGTTTTCTTCTTCCTCCTCGATAAGTAAGAGTATTTTTTGTATGTACATCAAATAACGTAAATTAGATACAGAATACATAAGATAAATAATATTTTGCCTGAGAAAAAATTAATATAATGAAGAAATTGCTGTTTCACTCTTAGATAATAAATAGTTTTCTATGGTCCAAAGGATCCTAACATATTTTCAATAATTTAAAATATTACTTAACACTTTGATAACAAGCAAAGGTAGTATTGTATTTATTTCTGAAGTTTCTAACGGTTTATACTTTATTTTTTCTAGATTATTATTGGTTTTTAATTTAAATGACGAATAACAATAATTATCAATACTATCCACTAGAAAATGAAGAACTCGATGCACCAATTCCTACATCCTGCCATAGCAATACCAATAATACTTTAATATGGTTAGATGAAGACGCATTGAATTTAACATCACCTAACACTCAACTTACAATCGAAATGTTTAAAAGTATAGCAGGTACTGATTACAAATTATACAACAGTGTAGAAATGTTCCTTGCAGCGATTCAGAGTATAGCTAAAATATCGAAACTTATAGTTATTACATCGGGATGCTTTGCAGAGAATCTACTTCCTAAACTATCCTTATCATTATTACGAGAACTGTCATCAATATTTATATTTTGCAAAGATTCTACTAAATATCAATATTTACAGAAAAAATGTCGAAAAATAATGGATATTTGTACTGATGAGCAGTCATTAAAAGAAGCAATTGAAGATGAATTACATCCATCAACAGATTTTCTCGTTATGGATCAAAATTTAAAACCTCTATTTAGTCTAACGGACAATTGTCAGGAATTTAATTTATATAAAAAATATATCGAAGTCTTAAAATATTATCCATGGTCATCAGAGAATAGAAAAAAGATGCTTAATGAATGCAAAAAACATTATCGGAAGGATAGCGCTCAGAGAAGAAGAATTGAAGAATTTAAATATAGCTATACAGCTGAAACAGCGATTCAGTGGTATACTAGAGACAGTTTTATTTATCGACTGGTGAATAAAGCATTGAGATCTTTGGACATGGAACAGATTAATATATTTCGACCTTATATTAAAGATTTATGTAAACAACTAGAAGAGTTACATAAACAAAATCAATCAGATATACCACTGACAATATTTCGTGGACATGGGAATATGACTATGGATCAATTTGAAAAACTCAAAGAGAATATTGGTGCTTTAATATCATTCAATGGATTTCTATCAGCTACAATAGATTACAATGTGGCAGTCATATTTGCAGGTTCTCTGTTGACTGAAGATAAATCAGTCATATATGAAATTCGAACTAATTATAATTTGAAAAATGTTGTATTTGCTGATATTACGCAACTTTCAGCCATGGAGGATGAAAAAGAATTTTTATTTAGTCTTTGTTCTATATTCAGAATTGATGGTATTACAAATGATGATGAAAATCAATTGTCAAAAATTATAATGAGTGCAGTAGATGAAGATGCGATAAATATTGCTGAACAGATTAAAATTGAAATAATTCAAGGAGAAGAGAACCATTTCTTTTGTTGTATAAATCAATATTGTCATAAGCAATATATTATTAAAGCATTTGCTATCATCTTTCTTATTATGGTAATGGCGTTAGGTATAATTTTTGGTATTAATATTAAACTAAAAGATCACACCTTAAAGTTAAACAACTGTGTTGGTTCAAATTGTACGACATTTAGTGCAACAACAACAACAACAACAGTAATAACAACAGGTAATGTACATATGAGGATGTTGCTGTGGAGTCAGTAAACGATAAGCACACTAGTGTTTAGATCTATAATATCGATGAAAGCAAAAAAAACAAGACAGACGAATCGGTAAGAATACGGAATCCATCGATTTTGTCTTTTCTTGAACTGCATCGTTATCCATGCGTTAAACGCGTGTGTGCTCATCGTTCCATTCCCTATTTATTAATAATGGTATAATTATTTTCATGGCTTCTTTTAATTTTAATATTATTAGCACCGATAAACATCAAATCATCAGCAGTAACGAATTTAATAAAGACTGCTTCGACAACGCTTGACTACGGCACAACGAATACAACAGTATCAACACGTATGTATCTTTCTTTTCTTACTTCGGATATATAATTAATATTTGTATGACAAACGTATCGTTTTTTTTAATCAGTAGGGATAGATTGTGTTCCTGTTGGATGGAATTATAAAGGCGATTTAATAAAAAATGAAAGTAGTACTACTGCGTTCGCTGTTGATGATGATCTAAATGTGTACACTGGTAGTTTTTATTATAAAAGTTTAGATAAATGGTCACCTCATGGTATACTAATAAAGAGACTATATGCTGGAGAATTTAAGATCCGCACTGCATTGTTCTTTCATTCACCATCTCATTATCTATATTTTTGTTATATACGGAACGGAACATTGGGTGTTTTCAAAATAACAAAAGAAAATCTGATGCCGATAAATGTTATAGAGAATATTAATCCCGAACCTTTAATGAATGGTAAGATTCTACTCAGTTGTAATGAATTATATGTCAATTCAGCTGATGATATATTCGTGCTAGATACGTTCACACGTGTATTGCGCAAATGGTCAGTTAACAGTTCTTCTCCAATTGTTGTGGCAGATGGAAATAAAACTGACTTAGTTGTTAATCCAGTATCATATCCAACGAATTTTGCAGTAGATGAAACTAATAATATCATATATTTATTAGATACTCCTTATAAACGTATTTTCAAATATACTAATGGATCAGAAATTGGAATTACTATTGTTGATGGATCACCTGTTCAAATGTTCGCAAGTAGAATGGGGGTAGATATCGACCCGTTAGCAATCGCTGTTGATAAAACTGGTTATATTATCTTAGGTGAAAAAGATAGAATAACCATATGGTCATCCGATGGTAAATTTAAAGGCATAGCTATGAAAAAATATCAAGATAACCGGTCTACTATAGTACAAAATATGAGTGCTGGAGTAATGGTATTTGACAGATTCGGAAATTTGTATGTTCAAATGTGGTCTGTTGGACACATAGTAAGATTCAATAGAACTTCAAGCACATGTGCGAACGATATTTTGTGATCGATATTGAACAAACGAATTTACTTTCGACGACCTGTACTTTTTTATTGTATTAAGCGTTTTCTTCTGTTATTTGGTTTTATTGGTAATTTATTATGTTTTAATAAAAATTTAACACTAACTTATACTTATTTGAAATTTATCAATAATTTCAATGGTAAATAGATTGATTGATAAAACCGGAATTATGATACATCTATCTGTAGCCTATAACCTCATCATCTATTCTCGATCACGAGTCAGTTTGAAACCCAATGATTTACGATTACTTTCTTGAGGATAGGTATGAGTGGGTAAGGGTGTAAATGTGTCTTCTTTGTTTTAATGGCACCCACACTCAAGATGTGGGTACGTACTTGTCTGTCTAGATAGAGTGTTTGTTTATTTTAGATGAATTCTTTTTATAAGTCGATCTACATGAGAAGTAACTTTCATTCAATTGTCAGCATAGAATCGAAATAAATGGCGTATGATCATAACTAAACTGATTTTTTTACCTAATTAGTATTATTTTCATGTCAGTTATGAATGTATCACACGATTGTTTAAGATTTACTTTACTTGTAAAGAATACTCGATGAATGAATATTATTCGTAAGATGTTTGGTGATTATAATAGGTGTTGGTTAATTGACAAAACAATTTACTTTGTGAAATCAAAAAAAGAGAAGGAAAGAATCGTCGAAGTGTAACATAAAGATCTAATGTGGACGGTCACGGTTTTTATATTCGATGTTAAGGTAAAAAAATATGTTCATTGCACATTTTGAGATTGTAGATATTTATATTGGTCAAGTAAGAGAATGAAATACAAATTTATAATAAAATGAAATTTTCTCAACGAAATTATCGAATGAAGATTGCAATGATTTGTTGTATAATATCAATGATAATTAGTAGATATAATCGACTTCTTCAAACATCTCATTAACAAGCCTGACATTAATTATAATAGCATGCTGTCGAAATGTTGAAAAACATCTTGTTAATTTTCAAAAGCATAGTATTCCTATTAGAAATTTATTTCAGAGAATCAGATTCTCAAGATGGTACATTAAAATTTCGTCAACAATGGCCATTGAATGATCCTAAACATGTTGATAGTTAGACTGCAGGAAATCAACAATGGAAATTATATGTTAAGATACTCGACGTATTGCCCATTGTCGAAATTATCTTCTTCAACGTGCTCGTGCTAATTTTGGATGGTTTGATTATTATGGAGTAGTCGATGTTGATAGGGCTTCATTGCCAAAATTTACAGTCAGTAATTTTCCCTCAAATTTCATTTATCTATTATCATCATGGGCGATAATGACAGCTTCTCAAATAGATGTTTATTATGATCTTTGGGGATTGCGTGCATCGCCAACAATGTCATTTTATTTTATAGTATATTCTCGACAAGTATCATTCATTGATTTAAGTGAAGAATGTCCTTATAATGGTTGGATGGATCATGGATTAGGTTTTATAGACAACAATGTGAACGTGTCAGTTTTAATCAATGTGTCAAACGAAAAGCAGGTGATGGAAATTTTTTTATTAATACAATGTTTGAAACTACTCCAGTACAAGAGATCAGACGTAAAAAATCTCTACGTTTAAATAGAAAAAATTTGTAAAATAAAACATGTCTTGAGGATGGATGTAAGTATTGTCTTCATTTATCATACACCCCACACCCTCACCCTCAAGATATGCTTGTTTATTAGAATTAAATATTGTCTATAAATGATTTACTACCGATTTCTGCTCTTTTAAAATCAGAAGATAATGTTCCAGAACTGATCAATAGATTCAATCGGTGGAGATAATATGTACCGTGAATACATAATAACTTTAAATTACGTGTATTTTCATTAGTTTTATGAAATAGAAATTGTAACATTGATTTTGTATCTCCCATTGAGTTACTGATTTTGAAGTGTTGCAAATGAGGAAATAACATAACAAATATTTCGACTCTATTAAGAGCACATGCGTCCAAAAAAGTGAAATTTGTAATGTTGTTTGTCTTTGATACCAATTGTAATTTTTCATTTCGTTGAAGGGTTATTTTGTTTTGTTTGAAAAAAGCCATAGTTTTAAGTGTTAATGTCCGAAGATTGGGCATAGAAGATAATAGTTCAATGAAGTTCAAAACAGAAAAACACTCAAGATTAATAATTAGAGTTTTCAACTGTTGTAAAGGTAATATTCTACTAAGACCGATTGAAATCGATGCATGAGCAGCAATTGAAAATCCATTATCTAATGTAAGTTCAATAGCACTTGGAAAAAAATACATGTATTGATTCATATCATTTTCATTTCCAACAAAAACATGATTAACCGACTTGTAAAGTACTCTATCTTCGTTTCTAACAGTTATGTCATGTGGTCGTTCGTGAACTATACAATACTTTCTCCTAAAAGTAGAATATATTGCTGAAAACTTATTAGAAATCTCATCAATATTTACCTATATGGATTTGTTGAGTACAAAATTCTTTGATTTCTGCTACCTGAATGATATATTCCATATTCAAAAAACCATTGTCGTTCAGTCCAAAATGAAGATTGAAACAGTTTGACTTGCTCTTCAAACGCTTCTTTTTGAACATTACTGGCATCGTCTTTGAAAAGAACATCAAAAACACGTAGTCTTGGTAAATACGATGATATTAATTGTTTCCATTTGTTTGCGTTTATATAGTTTGTCTCCGATGTAAAGTGTAAAACTTCAATAGAATGGAAAAGATTAACGAAAATTTGTTCTAAATCATCGAATATGATAACACCGCATAATCTGAAAGAGGCGTGCGTCAAATTTTTTAAATTCAGATAGGATAATTTCGTTGGTATAACACCGTGTTCACATGATAAATTCGCTGAGAAATAACGAAGATGTGGAACATATGACAATAAATTACTCAAATCATTCGCGTCTATTCCATCATCGATAATTAAATATTCAATTGGACTATATTCAGACGTTGTGTTAGATGCTAAGTTTAGGGTACGGGAACTTCCTAATGATAATTTGCAATATCGAAGTGAATATAAATGAAATATTAGTTGATATGCAGAATTTCTATTTTTGATATAATTAATAATAGTAATAGTTAATGAAGATAGATATCGTAATGATTTTAATTGATGAAGAATATTCACAAAATATTGCGGTTGAATATTTTCGAGAACAAGTGTTCGAAGAGATATTTTATCGAATAAGATAAAAACATTAGTATGAAACATGCAACAATTTGATAATCGAAGAGAATGAATTCGTTGTTTATTCGGAATGATTATATCTTGTTTGAAACAATTAAAATTTGATTGAATGGTTAGATCGATATTGATTTTAAGTGGAAGAGTTGATTGAGTAAAATGGGAACGAAATCGAGAATTTAGATAAAAAAATCCTTGATAACTATGATAATAATCGAGATATTCAAATATTTCATAGATTAGTTCGTTAGAAAGATCTTCAAATTGTGAAATCATTTGTATTATATTGATTGTGTACCACGTAGTAAAATACGATTGATAAAAATAATATGAAATAGAAAAAGAAATTATATAATAAATTACTTACGGGAATAATTTAGAAGAGAAATAAAATAATAGATCGAAAATATCATTGAATATTCGATATGGAAAGAAATGTAAATGATGTAATATGAACAACTCCTGTCTTCGATTTATCAATTACTAAACAAAGCAACTATATCATTTCGTAAATATTTTGTTCATTTCATTATCATAGATCTTGTATATAAATACATGAATCTAATAAAAAAAACAAAAGAAGAATACATAGATAAATAAACAAGAAAATACCATATCGTATCGTAGCATTGTCGCACATTGAACTAAACACAACTTCTTCATTTTCAACTATGATACAATGATTCATCAGATGAAAGAGTTGAGTCTTTCGAAATCAAAGAAAAGAAGTTGTGTATAGTATTTACACACATACAATGTTTTATAACGAGAAGAACGACACGTGTGATGTTATGATTTAATCTAAATATTTCTTTTCTTTTCTTTGTTGTCGTTTTTTTCTATATTATCACTAAACATACACCACTGTAAAAAATAGACGTAAAGTAATAGAATTCTTTTTCTTTTTGAAATATTTGTGAGTCTTGTTATGACACTATAAAAGAAAATGAATTTGTATCTCAATGTGATAACTTATTAAACTCAACAAAAAACTTTGATCAATGATTATGCGATACGGACAATTGCGCTGACTACACTTATGTCGATTTGTATTGAATAGAATAAAATCGTGTAGAGCAAGAACAATTTTATTTATTAAAGATTTTCACATCAATTAATTACTTTGTCTCCTTCTGATATACAATAAACATTATGTCCATAAAAATAGTTTTGATTTTTTATCCACATAAAATACTTTCCATTTTCCAAATAATATTTTAGAACTAAGTAAAACTGTCAAATGTTGAAAAGAACAGCTATTACTATCGATAAAACAAAATGATATTAAATGACGAGTATTTAAATTATCATCATCGACTATAAATCTTAGTAATGGTCCAATATCTTTGATTGCGATACCCATTTCAATGTGTTGTAAACGAGGATATAACATAACAAGTAATTCAAGTTTTTCTAATGTACATGTCCGTCCAATGGTGATATTTGTAATGCAATTTGTCTCGAACAAGGATTGAAATTGTTTATTTTATTCAATGGATAATTTGTTCTCTGCAGAAAGAGGCATGAAAGATAGTAATTCAATAATATTGGAAAAAGAAAAATCATGAAATTGGATTACTAAAGTCTTTAATTGTTGTAAAAGAAAAATACGACTAAGACCATTTACAAAAAACTAATATTTTAAAGTAAGTTTAGTAATATTTGGAAAATAATCTATACATTGATTCATTATTTTTTCATTTTTAATTTCCATATGATGGACTGATTTACAAATTATTCGATTTTCATTTTCGGTAGTTATTTCATTGTGTAGTTCATAATCATTTCTCCTAATAAGTAAAGAATATCATCAATATTTACCTATATGAATTTATTGAATAGAAGATTCTATATTCTCCATATACTGTTTCTTCCCATCGAGAGCGAAAAACCCATTTTCGTTCTGTCCAAAACGAAGATTGAAATAAATGAATTTGTTCATGAAATGCTGCGCTTTGAATGTTTCTATCTAGAATTCCTTCGAATCAAACATCAAAAACACGTAAATTTAGTAAATGCGATAATATTATTTGTTGCCATTTGTTTGCATTCATACAAACAATATCTGATGTAATACATAAAATTTCAATAGAAGGAAAATGATTGATAAAGAATTGTTCAAAAATATCAAATGCGTTGGATTTGAATTTGAAAGATGCATACGTCAAATGAATCGAACTGATATTAAGTAAAGTCGGTTGTGTAGGACCGTACCTACGTAATAAATGTACTGATAAATAACGAAGTTGTGGAACATATGATAATAAACAACTCAATTGAACTGTATTTATCAGTTGTTACACGTAAGATATCTATGTCACTTCTACCACCTAATGATAATTTGCAATATCGTAATGAAGGTAACTGAAATATCAGTTGATAAATATAATTTCGATCTTTAACAAAGTCAATAGTGGTAAAAGTTAATGAAGAAAGATTTGGTAATAATTTTAATTGATGAAGAATACACGACAAATCCAACGGTTCAAGATTTTCGATAACAAGTGTTTGAAGAAACTTTTTGTCAGATAAAACAAAAGGATTAGAATCAAACATGAAATAATTTAATATTCGAAGAGAATGAATTCGTTGTTTATTAGGTATAATTATATCTTGATTGAAACTATTAAAATTTGATTGAGAAATAAAATCAATATTAGTTTTAAATGGAACAGTTGATTGCGTAAAAAGTGTACGAAATCGACACTGCAGATTGAAAAATCCTTGATAACTATGATAATAATCGAGATATTCAAATATTTCATAGATAAGTTCATTAGCAAGATCCTCAAATTTTGAAACACTATAAAGAAGACTAATAAGAAAGTTCTTATGAAAAAATATGTACTTACCAATCAGTTACCATTGATAAGTATTTTTTCTTGTCGTTCGAATTTAATGATACGTAAAAAAAAGATGTATTATATTGATTGTTTATCACGTAGTAAAATAAGATTGATAAAAATAATATGAAATAGAAAAAGAGAAAATAAGTTAAACTTACAACAAGATAGAAACAAAATAATAGATCGAAAATATCATTAAATGTTCGACACACTTTCAATCAGAGACACCGATTTATTTTCTTAAAATTATTTCAGAACAAATCTTGGATGTATGTGTTCTATATTAATGAATAAAATATCATCAATATACTTTCTCATAACTTTCGCTTCATATTTTATTTGGAAGCAAATACTCAAAAATAAATATATTAAATATTACCACCACAAATGTAATTCCCTATAGGCATGCAATCTTCTATGATCCGAAGCTAATGCTCCAGACCTGATTAGATGATTCAAATGTGCAAAATACACTCCACTGGCAGGTTTAAAACTTAATAAAACTAGATTATGGTTATTTTTGTTCAGAAGAAATCGTAATATCAATTCCATATCTTTCATTTGGATATTCATAACCAGATGTTGTAAATGAGGAAATAATATAATAAGTATTTGAACTTTGTCCAGTGTACATATCTGTCGAAAAGTCACAGTTGCAACAGAATTTGTCTTACATAACGATTGAAATTGTTCATTTTGTTCAATGGATATTTTATTCTCTTTAAAAAGAGGCATTGTTTGAAATGTTAATCTATGAAGATTAGGTATATAAGATAATAATTTGATCATTTTCAAAAAACTAAAATGGTGACATTGTATTACTAAAGTTTTTATTTGTTGTAAAGGTAAAATACGATTGAGACCGCTTGCAATTGATCTATATGTCGATATCGAAAAGCCATCTGATAAAGTCAGTGTAGTAACATTTGGAAAATAATCCATACATTGATTTATTGCCATTTCATTTTGAATTTGAACAAGGTCAACTGATTTAAAAATTATTTGATTTTCATCTTCGGCAGTTGTCTCACCGTGTAGTTCATATTCTTTTCTCCTAATAAGTAGAATATAATAATTTATTTTCATTGAAAATATCATCAAGTAAAACTCGCTCAATACTTTCTCATACTAATCTTTTCATTTATATAATTTGCAAAAACTAACACAAGATTCGTTATCTTCGACTCCGATTAACCTTAGATCGAACTTTATACGAAGGAATGTTTTTTAGTTTAATTATTCATTTTACGGCTAATGAATGAAATGCGGACATGCAAACAATTTGTTTTTACAGAACTCTTCTCGACATGAAAGAGAATAACCTTTACCTATATGGATTTATTGTAAACAAAATTCTCCGATTTGAATGTAGTTTTTGATCCAACCGGGAATGAAAAAACCATTGTCGTTCAATCCAGAATGAAGATTGAAATAGTTTAACTTGCTCTTCATATTCCGCTTTTTGATTATCATTATATAGAACTATTTCAAACATAACATCAAATATACGTAACTTTAGCAAATGCATCGATATTAATTGTCGCCATTTGTTTGCATCTATAGATGTTAAATTTCCATATATACATAAAATTTCAATAAAAGGAAAGTGATTGATAAAAATATATTCCAATGTAGCGAATGGTATATTGTAACTAAGTTTGAGAGAAAGATGTATCAAATTGTTCAAAACATAGCAAGGTATATTTGTTGATGTAGATCTATAATCTTTTGATAATTTTAAAGAGAAACGACGTAATTGAGGAACACATGAAAGGAAATTATTTAGCTCGGAATCTCTTATTTCATAATCAATAATAAGATGTTCGATTGAACTTTGTTCGTTGACAGGAGATGTTGATAAGTGTAAACTATAATGATTTCCTAATGATAATTTGCAAAATTGTAACAAAGGTAAATGAAATACTTCTCGATAAATATAATTTTTATATGGAACCGGATCAACGGTGACAATGCTCAATGAAGATAAATAAGATAACGAAGTTAATTGATTAAGAAGGTTTCTCAGACGATCTGACTCGATATTTTCGAGAATAAGTGTGCGAAGAGATATTTTGTTTGATAATGAAAGTGCTTCATCATCATACATAAAAGTATTGAAGATTTGAATTGAATGAATACGTTGTTTATTAGGCATAATCATATCTTGATTGTAGGAATCAAAGGATGATGAAGATATAAGAGGAATACGAATTTTGAGTGGAAGTAATGATTCGACAAGAAGAGAGCGAAATCGATGATTAAGATGAAAAAAACTTTGATAAATATTATAGGAATTGAGATATTCAAATATGTCATAAAGAAGTTCATTAGCAAGATCCTCAATTTGTGTAACATTACTATTTGATAAATCAATATAATAATATTCTTATCAATAACTTATTTTCTTTACTCACCAATCTGATTTTGTTATGAACTTTTTTCTTTTATTTTCTTCGAAATTATAACATAGTTGTCGTTTTATTTGTTCCATTTGAAATCCTATCGAATGTGTATAGAAATTCTAAAGTATATCAACACTTATACAATAAAAAGAAGAAAAATGTCATTTGCTTTTTTTCTTATCATGTATCCCCTACTTTCAGTTGCTTCGATTACAAATGTGACATACGAAACGAAAAAGAAAATTTTGTATGTTTTGCATTGAATGATGATTCATACAAGTAGGAAGACAAATTTGGAGGTTTCCAACAAGGAAAAAAGACACAAATGACTAATTGAAATGTGCGTCATCTATACTTTGAATTAAATTGAGGATTGAGGATGAGGAAGTGGGTGTGGGTGGTTATAGAGAAGTCTCCTCAAACACACCCACGCCCTCAAGATGTAAATAAAAACGATCGCTTCACTGCTATCAATTTTAACTATACATATAAAACTTTTGCTTTAGCCAACAAAATCATTTTCATATATCCAACTCTACCAAATTACTTCTTCAGATTTTTGAATATTATAATATATAGCACATCAAATGATCAACAGATATGTAATCTGTCGAATCCATGCATTACTCGCTTCCAGTTTCTTTACAATATCTGCTGTGAAAATTTACTCACTATTGGTGTTTTATTTGTTACTTGCATAATGAACAAAAATAGAATCAGATGAAAACATTTGTTTGAATGGTGATTCAAATAAATGTTTCTTAACTTTGCAAGTCTCACAGACGGTGTTGATCATTATATTACAATTTTAAATTTTATGATGTAGATTCGATCGATTCGTTTTCAATCTTAATTAATAGACGAAAAGTAAAATAAAACATGGTTGATTTGAGTTTATTTACATTGATTTCGTAGAAAAAATGCATACTAGTGAAATGTATCTAATAATACTTAAAAGTTTGCTTGAAGTGACGTTCACGAATCAAAATGCGTTCTACTTTTCCTTTATGATTAATACAATCTCGTTGATGTGGTAGAGAACGAGAAAAAAAGTTATATTTTGCATTCTTTGTTATTTACAAAACAAATATTACAAGATAAAAAATATTTTTATGCTTTTGCATACTCATCAGAAACATAAAAAAAACATTTATTTAGAGAACGAATAATATGACAGGTTGAAAATATATTGGCATATTATTATTCGATATTAACATTAAATAACTTCCAAGGTAAACTTCTATAGGTATTATAGATTTGTTACAGATCTAATTCAGTTAATGTTTTTTGTTTATCGTATCTTTAATCGATGTGTCTTGAGTAAATTTGTACAGATTTTTATGAAAAACAAATCTCAAAAAATACAGAATAGAAACGTATAGTTAGTTAAAATCGTCTTGTTTTTCTCCTGTCTAAACAAGATCCAATAATTTATTTTTATATCTCTATCATTGTAACTAGCGACATCTGTCTTTTTATCTTCTCCAGGCTAAATGCATGATTCTGTCATGTATTATTTCTTCGTTAACTTTCATTAATAAATTATATGTATTGACACGTCAGATTTGCAAATATTTACGAGTTTTACACTGTCTCTATTTTTAACGTATATAATTGAAACGTCGCGTATAGATTTTCATGAACATGAATATCGTCGTAAAAAAACATACACAGGAAATTTAGTATATTTTTTTTATGTAGACTAATGATGAGCATGCGAGTATCTGAAGTTCTTGATTCAGAGTAAATTTGTAATAAAATTTTTTTATAATTCTAGGAAATGGACGCATCAATTTTAAATCATCTTTTTCTCCCACAACATTTACCATCGTCTGCTGATGCCGATTATCTAATCGGACAAAATCATCAACATGAACATGAATTATTAGAATACATGAACGAGTATTTTTATACAATTGCATCCACTGATATAGTGAACAAATTACCGGTGATGAGCATACTAATGGAGTGTATTAACCGTTGGTCTCATTTACAAAATCGACATAATTATTCTATAACAAATATTCAATCAACTCTCGAACAAATACCATCGGATCATTTTCTTCCTCTTTATTTTCATGCTCAAAATGCTGCGATTTTAATTGAAATCGATTCAAATAATAATCAACCATTGATATCAGCTTGGCAAGTTCTACTACCGACTGATGTAATTACGTCTTCATTAATGCCACACTTTTCCTGTTTTCCAGTGGCAACATACCGATTACGTGATCGATCGGAATTAGCTGCTCAAGTTCAGTGTGAATTATTAATGAATTTTATGATCGATACGATTGAGTATTCAAAATCTTATAAAGCATCGAATGTAGTTGATGAAACACGTGAAGTTCCACAATCACATTATGTATGTTGTTGGTGGATAGAACAATTTGAAGGTGTAATGGTTGACAAAACTCCCGGTAATTCTGTTCAATTCAAGAAAAAACATCGTGATCAAATTCGATGGAATAGTGCAGCACTTCCCTTTCGACGATCAGGATTATGGATGACTATCAAAGTCGTATTACATACAATTTTAATTAAACGTTTACAAACTCTCGGTACTATTGTCTATAAATTACTAATTACCCATTTTTTTACTTATGTTATTAAAAATATACCAATGCCCGTAGATTTATTGGTTCATTGTATCAGAAAAATTGCACGAAGATTAAATAAAATCAAAGATTTATTAGTTTCTATTAAATACGATGACAAGAATATTCAAATATGGATCAATAATACAAAGCAACAAATTGAATTTGACATTAAAAGTAAAATGCCTGATCCAAATTGGCAAAATGTAATTCGAATGAATGAAAAACTTCGTGTTGATTTTTGCGAAAAGTATTCGAAATTAAATAACAACCGGAATATTTATAAACATTCATGTGAAAAACTGCAGAACTATTTGTATGATTGTATTAATTCAGATAAAGCATCTGTTCGATTTAAACCCACTTATGCCTATGATGATCCAAGTACAAAAGATCTGAATGACTATATTCCTTCATACGATGTATTAACAAAAAAAATAGAATGTACGACTAGTGTTGCTTTGACTTACATGGAAATTTGGGTTGAGCTATGCTTGGAGCAATGGATCAATCACAATTCATCCACAATACATGGAAAAAATCGTTTCAAAATTTTATTTGAATTTTTCGAAACATATCAATCTGCTGCATTAAATCATTATTATTCCGAAAAAGGTTCGAACGATTCCATTGGTTACAGTCGATTTATTCTAACATCACTAACAATTCTTTATTGTATGCATCAAAAATTATGTCAGAAGGGAAGCTTTATACGATTAAAAGAACATTCTATAGATATTCCAAATTTATTCGACCTGTTTGAATTGTTAACTTTACCAACCCGTGATGATATGGTTCGAGCATATAATCTCTACAAATATTTCGAAAACTTTAAGAAAAAACAATATCCTGATATTTTGAGCAATATCGATTCGAAAAATGCTTTCGGTGTTTACTATGCTGGTCAATCAACAACAATGCTTTATAGTATTCAAAGAATTCAATCACAAGCTGACAGAGATAAACATGATAAAATTGTGGAGGTCAATGAAGCAAAGGAAAAATACGCACAACTGATGGACGTAGTCAATCAGACTGTATGTGATCCTTGTACAAGGAAGCATAAGAAAAAGTGTGCTCGATGTAAAACATTGTCAGAAGCAAATAAAATCCGAGTGCAAGTTTTCGAATGTCCAATACCATCGAAACTCGAAAGTGCATTGGCAATGATCTTCGAATTACAAATGCCAATTGAAATTCGATGCTATCGAGATGTTCTCTGGCAGTTTATTAGTCGGCTTCAAACAGAAACGAAAAATAATATTCACGAATGGTTAAAAGTTCCTCCACATGACAGTAAATTAAAATCTTATAACAATAATTCAATACAATCGAAGGTTAAATTGGTATCATCAACAAAATCTATAACACAGACTCACTATTCCTGTCCACCATCCATTGGCTCTACACCAGTCACTGATTTTTTATTTGAAAATAGTCTAAAAGTTCAAATTTCACCAAACAAACCAATGCCTTTTGACGATGAATGTGTTATTTTAACGCCTAAAATTAATCATCCTGATTACAAAAAATTACAATTTACAATACTTAACACAGAATTTTTACAAAATCATGTCATCGCCCAATTAGCTGATTGTTCAATACGAATGAAACCAACACAATTTGTAGAATTTGGTTCATTTCGATCCGGACATCGATTACAATGGTGGAATCTTTTGATTATGTTTGAAATGGATTCTCTTTTACTTGCTGAAGAAAGTGTGGTAATATTAATCATGCATTCATTACTTCAATATGGTCCTGTAGCAACACATCCTTCCTCATTCTCGAATAGTTGGTGTCCGGAATCGCATCGAGAGTTATTAGAAGATCATTTTGTTGATGAATTCATATTAAGATTAGATCGTCGTTTAGATGAATGCAAATTAAATTGGCAAAATGAATTAGTCTTATTAATTATTTCGATAATAACAATGAGAATATTGACAATATGTAATTCATCGAAAGTCGATAAAATTGTTAATTTAGCAAAAAAAACTCGTCGAATTAGTGAAAACTGGATTGATTCTATAACAAAAACAATTCAGACAATTTCACCAACAGCATTTGATGAAGTCGAAAGACTTCGTATTAAAATGATCAGTATTGCTATTGCCTGTGTTTTAACATTTTCAACTCATGACGATCGTATTAAACAGCTCATATCATCTAATCAAGATATTATATCTTTATTAAAAGCAGCTGCTACTATTCATGATAATATTATTTTAAATCGAAACGAATCAAATATCAGTCCATTAATGTCAAATTTAATTCGATATGCTGAACATGTTTTAGTCGTAGTACAACCATTCGTAGCAAAATTTCTTCGAAAAACATCACATGAAAGTTTAAATGACTTTGTTACAATCTATTGGGCAGTTATGCGAAGTAAAGGTCAAATGAAAGGCGAATGGAAAAAACGAACAAAATATGCATTTGATGGTTGGTACGATTGTCGATATGAATCGAGATTTATATCAATTGATTGCATCAAAGGAACGTTCTTAGTCGATGGATTAACAATAGGTTTTTTACCTAAAAACATTATTTCTCATCAATTATTTGTACGTGTATTTGGTCAACATGTTTTTGAAGTTCAAGCAGCTGAATCGACAAATACTTATATAACAAAACACGCATACCATGACGATGGTCGAGTTCTATATGAATTTTATTTCAATGATCAAACAAAAGATCTGATTATTAGGGAACGACATGTACGAACAAATGAAATCTATGAATTAATTCCTCATACATGTTTCGATGATGAATTACCAAATATGTTTATTTCAAATTACAGTCATTGGTGGAATGCAGTAACCGACATAGTCGAATTTCGGTCGGTTTATTTTAAAGATTCGAATTTTTTAAAGAATAAATTTTATATTCTCAATCGAAATACTGGATTGATTACAATGAATGAAATTAAAAGAAAACAAATTCTAATTAACCAATCAGCAGGTATTTTTCAAAAACTATTTTTACAATATTTCATTCGTCTCGATGATAAACCATATGTCTATATGATGGGAGACAATCTTTTTCCGCAAAATAATCTTATTATCACCATCCATTTATCTCATTTACGAATTGCTTTTCATTATAATACATCGACTCAAATAATTACGTCTCGCGAATATTCAGATATGCGTGTTGATGAAGATCAATGGTTAGGAACACTTACAGGACTCACATCCGGACTTCTACTTTCGCCATTATCAGTGCATAATAATCAATCAAACAATTATCCATATCGAAAATTAATTGTGCCATTTGGAGAAGTTCAAAGTACAATTCAAAATGCTACACATCAAACTGTTACAATACAACGAACGTCATTATCTTCAGATGAGTTTCTTTCACATTATTTTGTTTTCATTTTAAATGATCGATTATGTATTCTTCAATCAACGGATAGTCCAACTGGATGGCTCTATTTAGCACTATTACATGCTATGACTTCTCATCCATTATACGATCAATATACATCAATGACAGGAATGGAACGAGCTTTTCAATTGTTAAATTCAGCTGGTTGTTCATCTGATCAACCATATGATACTTTGTCATTAAATATACTCACTCAAATCGCTTCAATTTCACCAAAAGTTGATTATTATCCACGACATATGACTTGTATGGAAAAAATCGACTGGAATAACAATGGTTTATCAGCTTCGTTACAAAATTTTGGCTATTATTTGATTGTAAAATCCCTCATTCATGCGAGTCAACAATTGAATTTCATAAATTCGTCAGATGTTTCCATTGAAATTGCCAAACTTTTTAAAGAAAAATACAATAATGAAGCATTATTAAAGAAACTCTATTGGAACTATCGAGATTCATACAATCCATTAGCAAGATTACCCTTAGAAATAGAACGGGATATATTAAATACTTTTACATCAGCAGAATATCATTCAATTTTAGGAAATACCTCGCAGACAACCAATTATCCAGTTATTCAACTCGTGGATGATTTATATAAGAAAGGAAATGTGACACTTAAAGATTCCTCATGTTTTCATTGGTTACCTTTATCTCAATGGTTGAATGATGAAAATCGACTCGAAAATATCTGGATTAGTTTATTAAAATTGGTTGACGATTGTAAAAATCCATTAACCGATTATCGTACAGAAGGTATTCAACGTCTTCATCGATTGTTCGATTTTTTTCATTACATTTCAAATAAACGTAACATTAAACCATTCTATATACAAATGTTAAAAACAGCATTGAACTCGCCAGCGATTTCGTTCAATTCAATCAAGTTTCCTCCATTTATTGACTATCAAAATATTGAAGAAATATCTTTTATAAAAAAACGCATTTCGATTTCGAAGATTCCAACTGAACAAGCACGAAATGAAATTCTAGCTGAAATTGAACGTTGTTTGAGATCAAATTCTACCTACCAGTGTCCTGATGATGTAATATCATTTATAAATGTCACTCAAATCAATTTACTGCTTCGTTCATGGCGATTGAATAGCGCTCTTCGAACTTTTCTCCAATCTGTGCAAAAGTTGATTCATTCTGTTCGAATTGAACAATTTCAAAGTAAAGTAGTTTATAATACTCAAAAATTTACACGTGAACTGTTTCTAAATCATTATCAAATAAAAGTCAAATCTTCGAAGAAATTATTAAATCAAGATCTTCTATTAAAAGCTGCACAGAAATTTCATCATCATCATTATATAAATCATTTTCCTACAGAAAAGAATTCAACATCAATTGCTAAACAACAACGTCAATTTCCCAATGAAATTTTTCCGTTTATTAATAATGAACAAAATCCTCTATGGAAAATTGACAATTATTTTAGAGATCAATTAAATGAGAGTTGGAATAAATTTCTTTTAAATGAACAATCCGAAGAAACATATCCATCTGAGGACGAAATAAAACGATTACTCAATTCCATTCAAGACGAAACTGTAACATTCAGTATTGCACTAATTCAATCGATATTAGCACCAAATGAATTATTGTTTAATAGTGGTGTTTTACCACGACTGGTACCTTCAGTACTTATACGAGTTTTACTAGAAAGAAATATACATGCTGAAAACTCTCTGCCATTCGATTTAACTATGGATCAATGTACATTGTTAGGTGGTATTCTTGTTAATTGGACATTAGAACAACAATTAGAGCGAGCTTTACATTTCCTTGCTTATAATAAAACTGAAGATTTTAAAAAAGAAATATCCAATATTCCACATTTGAATTGGATACCATCTGAACATATCTATTGGTTAATTTTAGAACTTGAAATGAATATTATTATTCGTGATATTCAAATAAAAGTAGCACATCATATGATGCAAACAAATGTGCCTACTGCAAACAATATCGTCATGCAAATGAATATGGGTGAAGGAAAAACATCAGTGATTTTACCAATGTTAGCTGTTAGTTTATCTTCTATTAATTCAACTCTAGTTCGTATCGTAGTTTTAAAATCATTATTTCCAACAAATTATCAATCATTACGATATAAATTAGGTGGCTTATTGAATCGACGTATTTTACCATTCACTTGTCGTCGTGATATGAATTTAACATATGAACAAATTCAACGAATTCATATTCGATTTCATCAAGCATTAAATCATTGTGATGTGATATTAACTTCACCAGAAGATCTTCTTTCTTTCGATCTTCTTACCATTGATAAATGTCGACAAAATATATTCGATACTGCACAATCTATGTTAACTGTTCAACAATGGATTAAAACATATGCACGTGATATTTTAGATGAATCGGATGAAATTTTACATGTTAAATATCAATTAATTTATACGATCGGTGGTCAAAAACAAGTTGATGGAAGAACAGAACGATGGAAAACAATTCAATCAATCCTTGAATTGGTTAAAAAAAATAGTGCGGACATTTCCGAACGTTTCTCTGAAGAAACTTGTTTTAAAATTTCCGAACAAAAAAGTGTATTTCCACAATTTCGTTTACAATCAGATCTACCGTATCCATTATTATGTGAAAAGATAGCGAATGATTGGATTGATAGTAGAAATTATCGACAAGCTGATAAACAGATTGTTCTTTCATTTCTTCTACAATCAAAACTATCCGTTGATCCTCTAATCAACAAGTTTCCTTTTCTTGAAATTCAATTATTTCTCATTATTCGTGGTTTATTATCATCTGAAGTTTTATTAATTGCGTTGAAAAAACGACATCGAGTTAATTATGGTATTAATCCAAATCCATCATTTCATCGTTTAATGGCAGTACCATTTCGTGCTAAAGATGTTGCTGCCGATCGGACCGAATTTGGTCATCCTGATGTTGCTTTAGTTTTAACACAACTTTCATATTATTATTCTGGTTTAACAGATTCTCAATTGATGCAATGTTTTGATCATTTAAATGAACGAGAAAGTGATCCAGCAACTATTTATGAACAATGGATTTTATATGAAGGAATGGGCAATGTTCCTGAACATATTAAATATTGGAATGGAGTGAATTTAGAAGATTATCATCAACGAACCGAACAAATCTTCCCTACATTTCGATATCATATGTTAGTTATCAATTATTTTCTCAATCGTTTTGTTTTTCAACGCGAAGCAAAACAATTTCCTTATAAAATTGTTGCATCAGCATGGGATCTTTCATCATCAGTACGATCAAAGATTATTACAGGATTTAGTGGTACAAATGATACACAATTATTATTACCTGTACATATGAGAATGCTTCCTATTCCCAAAAGTTACACATTCCGGAATCGCTGCACCCACCCAATTTCACATCATTCAATTCCGGAAATCCTTGCATACGATTCCTGCCTTTTCCGGAACAGATCGAATTCGATTCCTGCCAATTCCGGAATTCCTTCTATCTGATTAATACTATTCCTGCCGATTCCGGAATTACGAAAGATATGCTTGATGTAGAAATGATCTTCTTCAATAATCGAATCGATTCCGTAGCGGAATT